AATGCTGGCTGCTTTCCATTTAGCTGCCTCGGTTTCAGGCTCAGTCATTGCCTTCTTGGGAACCATGATTTTAGTGACACCTGAACCTTTCCCACTATGTCGAGCTGTGAAAAAGGTTTATTATGGTTTAATACTAATCTTTAAGTACTGGTCTATGAACCTTAAAAGGAACCTATCAGGCAATTTCCTTTTTTTATTTTATGTACTCTTACAATTGTGAACCTTCATATTAAATCTAGTGATTTACATTAGCACATGTGTAAATGTTTACTTCAGACTGCTTTTAAGGCTCCATTTTAAGTTCATCTTTGCTCTGTGTGATGTCACTGAGAGCATCTATCCCTAATATGGTCATGTCATGCAAACACTTCTGGCTGTACGCACCTACTGCTGTTCTCTTTCTGAGGGGCAGCAAATGTCTCTTTAAACGAAAAGGGGCCTAAAACAAAGGGCCTGCACCAGTGTGATATTAAGAGGCATTATTTTGAGAATCAAATCATGTTAAGCTACTTCAGTAGAATCTGAGACTAAAAATATGGAAATTAGCAGGTCTGTAAGAAAGTGATTTCTACATCCTAAAGATTGCTGCATGAACAGACCTATTGAATGCAACCCAGATGTGTAGAAATCTTTTAGCTTTCAAACAACTTTATGCTGATAGGACGTGACTGCAAATCTTAACACAAGTGTTAACTCAGAAAAGCACATTTCAGCCGTTCTGCATAATGACAAGGCATGAAATTTGTTACCTCAAGCTTTTTTTTGTTTTTGTTTTTTGGAGGAAATAAAACCGACCCCACATGATGCCCGTGCAAGAGAGGAACTAAAACTGATCCGGGAAGCGTTTCAGTTTTTGCTGTACACTGTTTCCACTGAAGTAACAACACAAAACGCGGTTATTTTTGGACATGACAGCAAGCACTCAGATCAGAGTGCTGCTTGTTATTCTGGCAGGCCAGTATGAAACAAGTCAAGTAACATTTTTGACATGATTAAGAGAAAAAAAAAAAGAAGAAGAAAAGAAAGAAAAGTGGCCCAGTCAAGTTTTGCCCTGATCACTTTGCAGGAACTGAAAGATCATGAGGCTCAAGCGCACTCACTGCACACTATATAAACACACACCGGTAAAGACGAGGATTACAAGAACCTCAGGCTCTCTCACATCCTTACAACATAAGTCTGAAAATGCAATGCTTACCAATAAAACAAAAAAAAGGAAGTGAAAAGACACTATTCAGTGAACCATCACCCCCCCACCCCCCCCAACACACACATTTTTGCACTTTTAAGTTTTAACCTGTGAAGACTATTTTTGTCAGGAGCACAAATTAAATTGACTTACGTAGGTGTGCTTCGTCCCGCAGCACGGAGGACATAAGAACTGGAGAGGAAAATGTGACACAGAAAAAATTTAGGCAAATAGATATCCAAATCACACACAGACGAGTTGTTCTGTGGCAGTAATGGCGCTATTGCTAAAACTGGTCTCGTAAGCCCAATCAGTTTAGCTAAGGCTGCCCAACCAATAACACTGCTAGTCATGCAACAACGAGGAAGTTCACAGCATTCAGCAGTGACAGTACCCACAACCAGTGTCGAATACTATCAAAGTCAAGAGTAAGTACTCCAGTTCGTGGTGATATTGTACAGCTACACGATGACCTATAGCCAGTACTACATTTTCGACTTTTTGACTGACACAGGTACACAGGTGTGGTTATTACCGTTTGTTTCCTACCCGCTCACTCTACACGTTTATCGCTGTTATTACACAGGAAATAAAAGGTGTTGCTACTCACCGTCCATGATGCAAACACTCTTTCGCTCTGTCACGGGTTATTGTGTCTTGGAGAACCTCGGGCTGAATGAGTGACAGCGGGCAGAAAACTATTTTTTGTCAAGACACTAGCGGGGGAATTCCCGTCCGTCACATCTGATCTAGCCAATGAGAAGCTTCCGTGAAAAAAAGGGCGGGGTCCAGACGATTCCTCCTCCCTGCCCGCTCGCTCGAGGAAATGCACGGCGCGGTCCACGGGGGTCGGTCCTTCAGGGCTGGAGGTTAAAGTGGGTGGCGGAAGTGCGAGAATGAGGGTGGGAACATACGTAAAGAAGAGCCACGCAACAGCAGCCGCAAATAAAGAACACGAAAAATTATAGATAATAGATATCAATTAGGGAGCACCACACGCACAGCCACTATGTGTTTACTTTACATATACACACTGTCATACACAGCAGCCGTATATATAACATATACAGCAGATATGAGTACTGAGCGATACCAAGTAAATACAGGAACAGTCACTACCAATACTGATACTTTTAACATATAACGGCGGTAGGGGAGAGCAAGTATGTCAGGATTTACGAGATGAATTTGCAAAATTCTGAACACATTTGAATGATCACCAAATCACTGTGATTCTTTACTTTACACAGTAGTTAATACAACAAAACACACAGTTCAGCTCTTCATGTATGTTGTATCTAGGTTGTAAATGTAGATGTAAATGTAAAGCACTTTTTGTCGGCTTCTGTTGTGAAACTGTCCTTTCTGGACTTAACTAAGCATCTCTGAGATATCCTATATGTTAAAAAATTAAGTGCTATTTCAACAGAAATAAGTCTATCAGTAAAAATATTTTGGTTTAAAGTTAAGTAAATGTGCAAAATTTTAGGACTCTGTAACTTACTTTGGTGTGGCATAAATGGGAACACAGAAAAGAAAAACTTATGAAAATACAGGTAGAAGTCAAAAATTTCTTTATTCCTTCACATTTTCCAAAATCATCCAGTAGGCCGGATTGAATTCTTTACCAGCCGATTCTGGACCCTATGCCATATGTTTGAAGTGTATTTTCTTAATTTCTGGGGGGAAAAAAAAATCTTATAAAACAATTTAGTGGGCTACATACTGAACTTAGAGGATCAAAGCAAAGTTATTATTGTTGTAGTACCAGTATCAGTCCGATACCACTACCAGCATTGGTATTTATACTTTAATCTGCCCAGCTCCAGTGTTTTCTCTGCTGTTTTGTAGTTGATAGTGTAGGCAATTGGCTATTCTTTATTGAATCTGCAGCTCAGAAAAACATCTGGTATTTGTTCATGACTTTTTTAGCTTTAGAGTTGCCAGTATGCAAGTTCTCAGGTTAAGCTGCTGCACTAAGTCACATTTGCAACCTTTATGACAAGCTGAACGCTCTGTGCAAGCATGAAATTCAAATTGATTTTCTATTTCTTCTAGATGATTAGAAAAACAGAACATTTGTGAGAAAGTCTAAGTGAGATTCAAGGTTTTTTAAAGATTCCCATTATCATTTTAATTCCTCAACATAATATATTTGTAAACACAAGGTGAAAGATGAGGTCAGCAGCTAACTTGGGTAAAGATGCCATACCTCGCATTTTAATATAGTAATGTCAGCATTACACTGCTTCTCACTAAGACAGGATCTGCTTTGTTCATTCCCAGATCTATATTTCAGTTCTTGGACTCCGCTAGAGCAGCTTTTTATCTTATACCAGGCTTTGTTATTATAGTTTCATATTTTCCAATTAGTTTTGATTTCATTTTTGACAATCCAGTTCAGTTTCTATATTAGATTAAAAAAAAAATAAAAATAAATCAGTGTCACCATTTTTAATTATTATTGTATGGGGTAGTTGCCAGAATAAAGATTTAGGAAATTGTCCCCCCCCCCCGAATCTAATGATTTTTTTAGTTAACTACAGTAACCTCGGCCCCTTCAGCTCATCTGCTCCCTGACCTGTTTTGGCTTTCTTCCCCATTCCACACAAACAGACTGGATTGTATAGTTACTGGTTCTCATTTATTAATTCTTAGAAGACATTTTTTACTTCAACGATAAACATTTCCAGGAAATCAAACATGGCACATCAGTTATCATCCAATCCCATTTCTCCCATTACGGCGTTGAAAACAAACCAAACCACAGACAGCAGATTGTTTTTAGGGGTTTAATGGGTGTACAGTTATTTAAAGGAAGTGATAAACACATACAAAAATACCCTTTCAATACATTTTTAGAAACAAACATCTAAACGACCTGTTTTGTTAAATGTTTCTGAACAGTAAAACATGAGTTGTCTGAAACAGAGTGGTGCAGATTCAAAAGACCTACCTGCTATGAATGCTATTTAAAAAAAGAAAAAAAAAAAGAAAAAAAATCACATGGTACAAATATGCAAATATAAATAAAGTGATAAGAAAACCCCCAAATAATGAAGAATATGCCTTTTGAAAAAACTGTTCTCTGTACATTTAGTTGGGGAAACTGATGCTGGAAAGCCTACGTCCCAACTGTCAACCTGCTCCAATGAAGAGGGCGCCCCATTAGCATCGCTTTACACTTTACTATGTTTATATTTATATATCCTCTGTACTGAAATCAAATGCAAAGACACCCAGCTTCAAGATGGAGGGTTGGGCAAGGCAAGGCAAGAAAGTAGTTATCTCCTGACCCCTCTCCTCACCACCACCACTGCCACTAGTGGCCCCAGGAGATGCCTTTTAAGAACCTCCACAGGAGGCGCAGAGGGTTAACACCCAAATAGAAGGGAATTTTGTCTCTCTCCAACACATAAACACAGCCATCTATGCATGCACGCTCACACACAGTCAACCAGATATGCATGCATACACTCACAACTCTTCAAAAAGCTTCGAACCATCTTTTTTTTTTCGTTTTGTTGGGTTTTTTTTCTTGTCACAAAGCACCACGAACTTCCCAAAAGGACATGAAATGCACTCACAACTGGGACCTGGTTTTTATAAGGATCACACTTCACAAGCAAAACCAGACCACAGTGAACAGGTGGTGTGTGTGTGTTTGGGAGGGGGTCAAGCAGTATTTCCAAACATTTTGTTTAGTCCTCCTGATGGACTAGAGTGAAATTACTAGGTGTCAGGCAATCAGCCAATCACAGACATAGAAAGCACTTTGGGGGAGGGGGGGGTTTTCTCCGTTGTTTGCTGCTTTTTTTGTGTCGGGACACTTTTCTGACATCTAGGGATCGAACGAACGTGAGCAGAAAAAGTCAGCCTTCTTGTCCAATCAGAGACGGACGGGTGCGACACTGAAGCTCAGACAAATAGAACTATAAGCGTCTGTGGCACTTTGATATGGTTCTGGTGACCGTTCCTGTTGTCATGACAACGTTTTCTTGCCCTTACCAGCCCCTGAGAAGCTCTTGTGTTGCCCAAGATCATTTGCGCGCCTACACCTGGAGTCCATGCTGGTCCAGTGAGCTGTGGTTTTAGTATCCAGTCACATCCAAGCACACCCTCACTAAACCCTCCCTGCAACCTATGCAGTATCTACTGAAGATATCCAGGGCACTGGACAGTTTGTTTTTGGACAAGCAGTAGAGAAAACAAAGAAAAATTACATTTTTTTTTATATACTTTTTTTTCCCATTTTTAGATAAAACTACAATAGAATGGTCAAAAGTTTTAACGGTGATCTTTTGCTCCTTTTTAAGACAAAAAAAAGTTATGTACATCAACATTTACTGTACAGGTTTCTGTTGAGGACAAAAGAAAACGAAGGAGTAAAAGAAAATCAGCATACACCAGAAATGTGTGTAGCAAGTGCTGATAAATGATCAGGGCCTTTTTTTTTTTCTTTTTTCTTTTTTTTTTTTAAACTGGAAAAAGGAGACGAAATAGAAGAACAGCATGTTTTCCTCTCGTAATGTGTAGATTTCTAAACACAGAGTTAAGAAGAAAAAAAGAAAAGAAAAAACAAAAACCTGCTGCTTTAGTTCTCGTGTCATATCTCCGAGACTGCGGGAGGGGGGTTAAACTCCCCTCTGGCTGTGAGTGTGTGACAGCAATGGCCGAATCCCCTATCCACTGGCAAGACTGTAATCTTGAAGTCTGAGGTGAGGTGTCTGTGCTGCTTCACGCTTCAGACTGACTGACCTGAACGCTGCCGCCTGTCCCTGTGTGAAGTCACGTCCTCGGTGTTTGACTTGACTTAAAGCCCCTCACCTCGGTTATCTGTGTGAATCCAGTCTTTGTTGGCAGTTCAAGCTATATGGATTCTGGCCTTTTCTGTTTCTTTCAGCCTTTTGGCCTGTTCCTCCGACGATGGGGAGTGGGGTCTCTTGGAGGCTGCTCCGTTCAGAGGGTCGACTACTCGACTCACTAGCGTGGGGATGGAGCTGCCGATGGGAGGCACCACATGTTTGGATGTCACATGTTCTACAGAGAGAAAGATTGGGACAGAAATGGTGAGAGTTTTTCCACTAGCCTTTGTATTATATCTTAGCTTAGCATGTGCTAACAAACTAATGGAGAAATTATGCAATACATTTGGACTTTCATTAATGGATAAGATAGAAAAAAAACAAACACTTTCTTATATACTCACAATACAATCTAATAGATCACAAAGATTAAAATCTTGCTTGACCAACTCAACATCGTAAAGGAAAGCAAAACAAAGCTCTGCTTTTACTTTAAAATGATATGGAAAATGTGGTGTATTTAGTGGGGCAAATCAGAAACGGAGCAGGTCGCTAAAGAACACCTGTAGTGAGCAGCACTACAGATGCACGAGTGTGGTTTGCGATTAGCAGCTCTGACGCGTCACCGAAGTCGACAGCTGAGCGGTGCGATGGAAAAAACATCTGAACTAATGTAGTGTGCCTCACTCAGAAATGAGTGCAAGATCACCTTTCTGGAGGTCACAATTAATTCTAGGACAGCTGCTGGTAATGTAGGCTGAGGTGATGGTTACCATTTAAAACAAATGCTGTGCTGTCCTGTGTGGCGCTGGGGTTTGTTACTGCGTTTGCTCCAGCCATTACATGCTGGTTCATAAGTATTTTGTCGAAAAATCTTTAATCCAATGCTACTGCGACCTGAAGAATAAAAGAATTGGTTGAAGTTTTTATCTGATTAAAAAGGTTGATCTTTTTAAAGAAGTTGTTCATTTAACTTTTGGGCATGTCTTTGATCCAAGAACCAGGATCGCTAACCCTGATAACACACATCTGGGTTATTTAGCTCTTTAAAATAAATAAATAAAAGCACAGGAGAATTTGATTACAGAAGCTTGATTAAATGATTTGATGCAATTGATGATATATGACCCTATTAATTCTTTGATATTCCACAGGCAGCAGTATGCCATGAGTGTTTTTCCAAACAGGTGTCAGATTGTTCTGCAGGGTGATTAACCTCTTGTTCTTTTAAAGTAAACAAGAAAGGTAAATATAGTCTCTGATAACTGACAGGACGCAGCAGTGACTTTACTACAGGTTTATTAAAAAAAAAAAAAATCTTATGGACATCGCTGCCGTTTGTTTGTTGCTTGTAATTTGTTTGATTTCTAATTAATGATGTGCAGTTTTATGAAAAGAAGCTATTGAAACAGATCCTCACTTGAGCCAATCACAGGAATGGACATGCCCTTTTCCTCGCTGGCAGCAGGAGCGTCTGTGGTGAGGGTGTCCTCAAACACGGGCGGCTTGGGAGGTGTGATACTGCACAGACACGTTAAAAAACAAGCAGGACAACACATACAGCACATCAGAATTGCATCAGTGAACGCAGCACTTTCAACTACTAAATGTGATGGGAGAAAAACTCCATACATATAAATAACTGATGAAACTCACTTGTGGCGGTTGAGGGCCAGTTTAATGGAATTTTTCACAACACGACAGCTGTTACTGGCAGGGAGAGGCGAGGAGGCATCAGGCAGCTCCATGCTGGGAAGTCTCTGAGGGAGGAAGAACAACAGCAGTGTTAGAAATCACCTCAAGTCTTTTAATAAGTGATTTAACAAGAGGGTAAAAATAAAGAACTTGCTTGTGTTCTTGAGGTATCGATGGTTGGAATGGGCTTTGCCTTTGATCCAGCAAGAGAAGTCTAACGAAGAGAAAATGTAATTTGTTTTTATTGCTTTAAATTACTGAGAAAATCCTTTATTATTAACAGTTAACAGAGGCAGACACAGCAGCAGTAACACCTACAATGCTGGATGCTTCCCCGTGTGTTTGGGGGTCAGACGAGGGTGGATATGGTTCTTTGAAGGTAGCGTCATCATTTGACACCACCTGCAGCAGCAAAACAACAGTGTCAGTATCTGGTCCATTCTTTTAAATATGTCAATAAGTTGTCCAAATGCTTACGTCTGTGTTTTTTGGCCTCTTGGCCGGGTCCTCTTGTGTGGGCGAGTGCGGTCTCTTGGAAGGAGCACCGTTGACTGAGTCCTCCAGGCCGTTGGGCTCCTCTTTGGGGCTGCTGGTGGCGGTAGGCTTTGCGCTGCTGGTGATGGAGCTGCTGGCTGGTGGGGAAGGAGGCTTTGCTTTAAGAGGAGGTTCTTCAGGATGAGGAGGTGATGGAGTTGGGAAATCAAAAGAGGACATGTTAGAGACCAACTTAACAAGTGCACAGTAACACTTTCTGCATTTCCTTAATTAAAGTATTGCAGTTTAAATCGACATTTCTGTTAGGAAGCAAAGTAAAACATGCATTTTAACTCACTTGAACCAATAACAGGGATGGACATTCCCTGGTCTTTAGCTGCAGCAGCAACAGGAGCAGGAAGAGGAGCAGCAACAGCAGCAGGAGGAGCAGCAGCAGGAGGAGCAGCTGCAACAGGTGCTGGAGAACCCTCCACAAAAAGCTGCTTAGGAGGACTGACGCTGAAAAACGAAGAGCAGAAAACATGACAACAATTTGAAGACAACTGTATTCATGAGGTAAAAGGGGATTAGGAAAAAAAGGACAACACTAACAGTAAAAATTACACACAAGTAGTGCATCATACCTGTCGTCTGTGTCAGATGCAGGCTTGGAGGGTTTGCTGGGCGGGGAGTTAAAGGGAGTCCCTGAGTCTGTGTCTCTGGAGCTGTCCAGGTGACTGCTGTCGAGGGAGAGCCGCTTAGAGCTGCCACCATTAGAACTACGGTTCAACTCTGCTATGCTCTGCGGGAGGGAGAGGACAGATTTGTTAAAGGAGGAGAACAAACCTAAAAACAAGACAAGCATCGCAGAACAACATCTTACTCTCTTTTTCTTCTGCACCACTTCAGGAGGCAGGTACTGATGGAGCTGCTTCTTCTTCACATGTGTTGCTTCAATCTTCATCCCATCCTTCAGCATGTTGATGTTGTTGGCTTGTCTGTACACTGATGTGCACAATGTCACGTTAACATTGACAGGACAGACAACCTCAACAGGTGTATATAAATGTTTGTTAAACATAAAAATCATACAAATAAGCTCTGGTCATTTCTGCCAATTTACTCAGTGAAACACCTGAGATGTATCTGTAGTATGTTTGTGTCCTTTTTTTACATTAAATGTAACAACATAACTACAGCAGCAGAAGCACACACAACTACACACCACTATAAACCACAGTAAATGATTGATTGTTAAAGTTGCAAAAACTATAGTGTTCTTTTAAACAATTTTTAATAAACATTAAAAAAAACCCAAACAAACCCAAAAACATTTTCCCCCCCCACTTTACTTTGCCGTCAGCCAGCCCATTTTCAGTGGAGAACTGAACTCATCACCTGCGCTTTTGAAAGCCACCAGATTTGTTTGACTCATACAGAAACTTTACGTTTCAGAGCTGTATGTTACACAGCCGCACGAATGATTCATCATACTGTGTGAATCTGAGTAGTAGGACTCAAAAGCCTAGTTTAAAAAAAAAAATCTACTTGTGTATTCTGGAAATAAAACGATTGTTTCTGTGATAGGATGGAGAGAGTGTGTGTATGCTCTGTTGGGAAGGACTGCCGTAAGATATGGTGCGGCAGTAAAAACATTTTTTGCCTTCGCTTCGGTACCATTACTCTCTTCAGCTTTTGTAAACTGCGGACATAGCAAAGACTATAAAGACCAGGCACAACACTGACATCTCATAGGATCCCTTTTAAAAAAACAAAAAACAAAAAACCCTCAACAACAAACATCTGAACGAAACCTTCGGAAAAAGGAGCTAATATGTTTGGAAAGGTATTTTCTGCAGCAGTTCCATTCAGTTCATTTATAAACTCACCTGTTTTCCCTGATATATACACTAAAGTAGAGCACATGTTAATGCTGAAAAAAAAATGTTCAAAAAGATTTAGCAGCAATTTTTCCTTCAGCTCACTTAAAACGCAGAGTGAGGTTAGACCTACCAGTGTCTGTGAAAGACTGGATGTCATACGTCAAGTCTATGTTCACACTCTCTGCATTCTCCACCTTCTTAAAGATGATCCCAATAAACCACATTGACACAAAATCGTTCCTGTTGGAGAAAAAACACAAAAAGAGCACGCTCCCTTAGAATATGCGTTTGTTTCGATGTTCTGGTTGAGCGTCTGTGGATGAAGCTGGACTCACTCGTTCCGGTTCTCTTTAGATCCCGGGAATGACTGGGGGTTTACATGAGCCAGGGTAATGTACTCGTTCCTCTCCAGGTTTCCCACCAGAACACGGATCTTTGACTCCACCAGGCCGATCCTGGGGAAAAAAACAAACAAACATTCGGACGTAGTCAGGGAGGGTACACCACAAGGCTGTGCTGACAGGCAATGATGTCATCGATCGATGATGGTCACAGTTAAAGGTGAACTCACCAATCAAGGTGATTTTTATCTATACTTATCTGATGCATGAGAGCCGCATTAAATTCAACCTACAAAGCCGCAGATTCCCGTCAATTCTTCACAGATAACTTATGCTTGCAACACAGCGCGCACACATCTACACTCTGACTCCTGCGTGCTCTGAGGTTGGTATGTATGTGACGCGGCAACACTGATTCATCATAATCTTCATCAAATAAGAGAAAACAGGAGGATAATTCTGACTGCTCAGCCTTGATTACACTTTCCGCGTCCATGAATCTGGCCTGAACGACGCAAATGTGTGCATCCCATGACAGTGGACCCAGGATAACAGTAATGACTGTTATACTACTAATGACAAAGGTTTGTATGTCAACATACAAACTTTTCTGTGTGTTATAAATGTGACTCTTGCTGCAGCTGTTACGCTTCATTCCGTTTGTGTGCATGTATAAGACGTATTGTACGTTATGAATGGTGAATAGCAGCATAATCATAGAGGTAGACTTCTCAGGCACCCAGTGGCAATGCAACAGGGGGAAATAGGACGACTACACTATGAAGCAAATGGCCCAGTTACAGTGCACTTGGTCCAGTTTTCCAACTGATGTGCAGGACAAACTGTATAAGATGGCTGGATATAGTCACTGTAACATCACCTATTAAGTGAAGGCCTGTTTTTGAAGCTTCAAGCTGAGTGTTTTGGCTCTCGCCGTAAATCTCAGAGAGAAACCTAAGGAAACCGCATGGGGCTCACAATCACAAGTTAGGCCTGTTAAATCCTTATTTTGGACTTAATCGGACAAAAATGATCATTATACTGTCTTTAATAAGACCTGACACTAGTTGCTGAGACTAAAGTCATCAGGAAAGAGTTTACTGAGGTTCTAGATGAAGACCTACACATCTAAACAATTTCACTTTTTGTTTTAAAAAGAACAAAAGTCACACACTTCTGCAAAAGCTTAATTTGTCACACACCGAAGCTACATTCACCTTTTTCATACACACTTTACATAGATGATCCTGTACCATGACTGCAAATACAGATGAAACTAAGCTGGCATGCAAACTGGCAGGCTCAAATGTATCAATTAATTTCAAACACAATGATGGCTGATGGTGATTTACAGATTTAGAGCTCCTGAGCTACTAGAAATCCTGATTTCTGACACTCACCATTCCAAGTGGTTTTCTTCTGTGGATGCACTGGCAGTGAGAACAATGTAATGTCTGCCACAAAAGAAAAGAAATAAAGTTAGACAAGTTATGGTCAGGGTTTACCCTGCTTCTCGCCCTGAGACAGCTGGGATAGACTCCACCCCCCCCCTCGACCCTAAAAAGGATAAGCGGAAGAGAATGGATGGAAGTTATGCAAATAATAAATCCAGAGGTCCTGAAAGACCTCAGGCTTTCACAGAGACTGGTGTTGGTCTGCTGATGCACTACTGTGCAGTCTTAATGATCTTGTACCAATCCTCAATACCACACCGAGGAGCAAAATCCACAGTTTTTGGGCATCGACAGTCCCACCACTGCTCAGGTGACCAGTGTAGCTCCAGTAAC